AAACCAATTTCATGTAGACACATAAAATCATGCATGTTTTTTATTGAAACGAACATGCATATATCAACTTAAACGAAAACGAGTCGAACGACAATGGATTTGAAACTTTACCTCTTGAAGCGTGAGTTAGGCGCACTAAGCAAAGCTAGATTGCCACAGAAACCAATCCGTGCTATCCGGGGCAGCAACGGCGATGCAGCAAGGGCGATGATCCGAGCTACGGCGGCGCGTGTGGTTAACGCGCTGTCTTCGGGCGGCGCGTGGGGGCGCGTGCATCGTTGGCTCGGTGGCGTTTCCTCGATTCTCCTCCTCTCGGATTTCACCTTGTATACTTCGATCTACTAAATACGTGGCACTAGAAACGTAATAGTTAGAAAAACGGAAGAACAGAAAGAAGGAAAGAAATACCAAAAGGATCGGCCAAGGAGTGGCCGATTCCGGCGAGTCGTCGGCGACAACAGCGGTGTTGGCCGCGGGGGGAGAACGGCCGAGAGAGAGGGAGCGGCTAGGGTTAGTTCGTGTGTTGTGTTCAAGTGTGTGTGTAAGAACTATAAATCAAGTATTTATAGTGTCTTGCATAAAACCCTGACGGGCTTAAGTTGGACCGGGCCCAACAACTTAAGTTCGTTAGTTTTTTTACCTGCTCGTCTCTCTCAATTCGATGATCGGAAAATTGCAAAAATTACATTTTCGGAATCATTATAATGTCCTCGTTACTACGAGTGCCAATTCTCAATTTCCAACTTTCCAAAAGTGGAAACCCTAATTCAGTGCACTTTCTAAATTTGGAAACTTACAGATTTAGAAAGTCCACTAAGATGTTCGCCTATTCTTTTCCTTTTCTTATTCTCATTCATAATTCCAAATTACGAATGTTGGATCTAATCATATTGACTTCCAATCATGCTAAGATAAACCATTTTATCTCTGACCGTTTATTCAAAGATCTCACGTGCACGAGCAGTATGGTTCAGGTGTAAGCTAGCCGTGGGCCCACAACCCTTTGTGGTCAAAACTCGTCCCTTAGAGTTATGTTTAAGATGAAGCTCGTTTCACCTTAATCACCCAACGAATCAAGATCGGCGTCTAGCAACTACGAGTCATGATTCCCTAGATACAAATGAAGTGCCTGCAAGAACCTTCAGAAATAGATAACGTACAGTACGATCCCTTCGATTCATATGATCCGATTGAACTAGAGGCATTGTTTCATCGAGACCTCTTTATTTGTTCGATGACGGTGCGATCGTTCTTAGTGTTGTAATCGTTACGTGCATGACTTAGAGAATTGAATTCTCTAATCATCACTTAGTCAGCTCTGGCCAGAGACTTAAAGTGATTACAAACTATCAGAACACACAGGACATCCAAGACTATTCTAGCGATCGAATCCCTGAATACAATACACAAACCTCCTGACTAGATTTCGGACTGCACGAACACTGGCCCTTAGGGATGTCCTCGGTGGAACTCAAGGACAGGTCACCATACAGCTGGTCCTCTAGTGAAGTCACGATGATGTCTAGGTCATAAGGACTAATGGTGTACAACTATACCATAGATATCTCTACTCGATTATTGGGAACCACTTAGAGATTTCTAGGGTGAGGGATTTCAGTGAACTCGTCAACTTACGAGCACCCAATTATGCATGTCGATATCACAATACAGTTTACTGATGAGATGCAGTTTACATACACTAAGTGCTAGTCTCTTAATGGGAAAGGCCGATATCCTCATTGGTGGCGTAACCCTTCGACTAGGAACACGTTTAACAGTTATAATACTTAATTAAATATATCATGATCCTAACAATCAATTACTAGTACTTGTAATAACTGTAAGGACTATATCTATGCTTGTGACAAAGGGACAAATATATAGAATGCCAAGGTGTTTTATCATTAATACGAATAAAGGTTCGTTTATTACCATAATAAATACGAAAGACCACAGCCACATGTTGGCTTGTTGGTCACCTACTCTAACACCTCATTGGTGGCGTAACCCTTCCACTAGGAACACATTTAACAGTTATAATACTTAAGTAAATATCTCACGATCATAAAAGACAAATCACAAGTACTTGTAATAATTGTATGAACTATATCTATGTTTAAACAATGGACAAAGATATAGAATGCCAAGGTGTTTTTATAATTAATACGAAAAATTATTTATTTATTACAAGAATAAATGGAAAGACCACAGCCACAAGGTGGCTTGTTAGCACCTACTCTAACACTTGAGGCTCCGGACTTGGGGTCTACCGTGCTCAAGGATATTCTGCATAAGTACGCAAGATCCTCTGGACAAGTAATCAACCTTGACAAGACCACCATGGTTTTTAGTCCGAAAACTCCTTCAGCTCAGCAGGAATCCATTCATCAAATACTGGGATTCAAGATTGTGGACCTACACGACAAGTATCTGGTTATGACAGTCTCATTGGGTCACAGCCTCATTGGGTCAGACAAAAAAATGAGATTTTCACCTATATTAGTGATCGTACTTGGCCAAGATTAAGGGGTGGGGCGAAAAACAGCTATCTCGGCAAATGAGTGTTGATTAAATCCGTTCGCCAATCCATTCCCATGTACATCATGAGTTGTTTCTTGTTGCCAAGTGGACTTCTCCAAGAGATTGAATCGGCAATGCTGCAATATTGGTGGGGCAATGGCAGCCGCAAGGGTTTGGCGTGGATCTCGTGGAAGAAACTTTGCACACCTAAAAGTTTAGGCGCCATTGGGTTTAAAGAGATGAAGAGCTTCAACCTGGCATTACTGGCGAAACAAGGGTGGCGGATTATCTCACAACCGGAATCGCTACTATCGAGAATCCTTAAATCCCTTTCTTTCCCGAATGGGGAATTTTTCTTGGTAGGTATGGGAACTCGCTCCTCGGAGATTTGGAAGAGCATCATGATGGAACGCCCCCACTTGCAGCCATAAATTAGAGTGAGAAATGGTGATGGAACAAGCAAATCAATTTGGGCGGACAAATGGCTCGTGGATGAGGATTGCTCTCGGGTGATTCCAAAGAGGCCAATTCATAGCTCATTTTCGGTCAAAGTCGCGGATATCATCGACCCTACCTCATGTACATGGAATGTGTCTCTTATCGAGAAAGTCTTATGGCTATGGCCGGTTGATAGGATCCTCTCGGTCCCAATTGGCAGTTCTCGAGCAATGGATACGATCATCTGTCATTACACCACTCACGGGAGATTCACGGTTAACTCGTGCTACAACACTATATTCTTGAAACTTAATATGGGGACAACAAACAACGCTCAAGACGGCCAACCCTCTGGTGGGCCCCCAAATGACGTTTTACGGCAGAATTGGCGGTACGACGTCCCCCCCAAAGGTGCGCCTACTCCTTTGGAGAGCGTGCCTGAACATTATCCCAACGAACACCGAGCTGGTTCGACGCAAAATTTCCAATTCGCCGTTCGGCCATGTTTGTGGACGTATTGAAACTGTCATGCATGTTCTTTTAGAATGCCGGGGATTGAATCAGATGTGGAATAGACATGCATTCGACGGTATTGACATGAATAGCCTTCCAAACATTGGAAAGTTAGCTAGAGTGTATCCTTTTTTTTTTAGCAGTGATACGGTTTCTTTAGCAAAAATCATTATGTGAAAGGCCTGGGATACTCGTAATCAAGAGTTGCATGGCAAGAAGACGATCAAGTCGGACAATCTACTATTGTGGAGTTCTTCATACCTCACTATCTATAAGCAAGCAAAAATGGTACGTATTCCTAGCATCCGACCGGCACACCCCACGACTTGGATACAACCTGATGTTGGAGCAGTTAAGATTAATGTGGACGCAAATTTACCGATAAGAATAGACTTTTTTACCACCTCGATGGTCGTTCGTGATGGGAGGGCCGACTGTATTTGGTGGGCGGTCGAGAAATTTTTGGGTCGGCCGAAACCGGTGGTCGGAGAAGCAAGCGCGATATTACAAACGACGAGGAAGGCAAAGATACAGGCTCAATCTCCATCATTGTGGAAGGAGATTGTTTGCAGGTTATCCAAGCTTTACAAGGAGTTCCTGTCGCGGCTATGTTCGGGGCCCTTATTCAAGATTGTCTAGAGTTGGCCAAAAGCTTTTACTCGATTTCTTTCCAGTTTATCAAACGTTCTGTGCAATGGTTTAGCTAACGCTATTGCAAAAACTCAGGATTTCTCTTGTACCGAAGGTGTAATCCTTCCTTCATTTTTGGCTTGCTATGCCTAAACAAAGCCTGGTTTTAAAAAAAAAATTAATAATTGTAGATAAAGTAGAACCCGTGACATCTTGCTAGAAAAGAGTTCTTGCCAATGGACCATACATGATTTATGTTTACAAATCAATTATTCTATTATTAGGGTTGGAAATCGGACGAAATGGATCGGAAATGACATTTTCGGAATTTTTTCAATTTTTTCGGAAGTAAGAAATGGGTTAAAATTTCCAGTCCAAAAATATCATAATGCGAAAATTCATTCCGACTTCAGAATATCTTGGAACCGGCGCAATTTCAGAAATTTCAGAAATTACATTAGTATATAATCTCTTGTTTCAAATTTGAAATAACGAAAATTTCATTTTTTTTTCTATCTTTTTAGAAAAAGTTGAAGGAAAATGCAAGAAAATTTATGGCACACTTTTTATAGTTGTAACCAAATAGTTCTACAACACTTTTTCTCCAGTCATACACAAAATGAATAAACAAAAAAAACGAATAAGGAAAAAAGCGCGATTTAAGTTTTCTCATTTCCAACGGTCATCATCTGTTAGAAATAAAATTTAAATGTCTAAAATATTAATATAAGTGAGTTAATATTAATAGTAACAGATAAGTTAGACTCTTAATGGATATAGCTATTAGACATTCCTAACGGATATAATCCATTAGAATTGGTTATTTCTTGCTGTTAAAAAATCTCCTTTTTTGGTGTAGTGTAGATGCCAATGAATATTCTTCATCAACCGGGGGAGATTCAAGAAAACGTACTCAATTGCTGCGGATTTTGTCTGAAAGTAGCAATGACAAGCTGAAAAGTAATAAAAAAATGTCAATATTTATATGTAAAGCTATGATAAAATAGAAAATGATAAAATATCGTCATTATTTACATGTGAACAAATATCAAACTAGATGAAATTAAAATAAAATAATAATAGACTACAAATGTAATTGTGCATGTAATGAAAAATGGCATAAATTTGTTGATGATCAATAGGTTTAAATGCCGGAGTCAATCAATTACTATGTATTATAGTGGAAAATAATATGAGAGGACACAAAATCATTTGATTTTTTCCACAATCCACACATCAAGAGTACTACAAAGAGCACTTATGTCCCAATAAAAGAATATTTATGGCTACATGGAAAGAGTGAGGCATTAGTGTTAGTTATGTGCAATATGTGTGCATCAATAAGAGCACATACATGTCTAGTGGATTTAGTGCAGTCAAATAATTTTTACACTCCGTATACTAACACATTTAATTATTTATTTATTCTTCCCACACAACTTATATCATTTACTAAAGTTCAAGATAATTTATCAATACATATCTAACCTCCATTCCCCAATTTTATATTAATAATCCTAAAAAAAAGGCGTGCTACCCTTGAACTCCGTTTACTTTTAGAATTAGCCCAACATTTTATAAAATTATGCCCCCACCATTGATAATATATATTGAAAAAAAAAACAAGAAAATTTCCGCATTCGAAAATGTATTTAGAGCTTACTTGAGTTGGACCAGCAGCAATAAGCAAATTGGCTACAACACCGCCATAAATGAGGCCTTCGGGGTTAGCCAATTGAACACTCAATACGCATCTTTTGACATGTCTAGTTCCATTATATGTGTGCGATCCATTTAGATGTACAATGGAAAAATTACCCTGCACAAGGAAAATATATATATGAGAAACTACATTCTTTCACATACACATACACTAACGTTCTATTTTTCATATCAATCATACACTCGTTAAATTAGATCAAACTGAAAACTCGCAAGGCTGTTGATGATAACAAAATGTTATCCCTCATAACATGTTGAAAGAAAGAAACATACATTATCATGCATTGTTTCAAGTAAATTAATAAACAAGTTTTATATAGGTCTAGCTTATTACATGCCGAACAATTATAAGTAGAAATATAAAAGAAATTACAGAGATTCATACCTTGTATCGAGAAATGCCACTGGGAGAAGCAGGTACAAGAATTTCTGCAGTGGAGACTGTTCCGAAAGCCGAGACAATGCAAATTGAATCAGGAGTCGTCATAGAAAATGACTTGATCCTTTCAACTATGTTCTGCACAAACAACAAAAAATATAGTATTAATTACTTATTGTTACATGTGATTCTTGTTAATATATATCCCATTTATCGATAACTCAAGACAATATAATTATTAGTTACCTCTCCTTTTTGAATTTCTATTCTATG